TATCTCTATTATGTCTCAACTTTCTTTGATTTAATCTCCTAATTTTTGACCCAGGTCTTCCCCTCTCTCTCTCTCTCTCTCTCTCTCTCTGCTATTTTATATGAATTCAACTCTATCAAAATCATACAGTTTCTATCAATTCTTCAACAAAAGAAACTGATTACATTTCGCGTTGCACATTTCTGCCGAAGAAAAATTGCAGAAAATATGAAAAACGCGGGAAGAAAAAGACATGAAATTCTTAAATTAATTCTTAAAGCAGATATTTGCACTTGTTAATATGTCTATATATTGAAGTTACTGTAGTCAGCATTAGCCGGCCTGAAGACAAGCATTAAATGAGTTGGTCTTTTAGTGCATGTCTCTTTGTTTCATTCGCAAATTCTACACACACTGGAAAGGTGTCAGATGTAGAAATCATTAATTCCACATATTGCTACGCATTAGCTAGATGCAGAAAGACGTAGTTTTGTTTTAGCAGAAGCTTAGTAAAGAACATCATAAATGAGGACTTCTTTTGCTTTTAAACATTTTATCCCAAAGCAAAATAATAAAGTCACTAAAAACGTACGCAGTTACTGATAGTAAATGAATACGAAAAATATTAAGACGAAAGAAGAATAAAAGAACAAGAATTGAGAAGACAGAAGATAAAATTGATATTGCATTTACAATTTTGAAGATCAAAGTTAACTGGAAAGCAAGAAGCCAGAAAAAAGTTCCACAAGGAGAAGTGCGACAGAAGAAACTGTTAGCACTGAACTTACGGTTACATCTAGCCATTTTAACAGTAAAATGATGAGACCTTGCCGCCAATCTATAAGGCCGTGGATGTAATACCATGAGAGAGAAGAAACTGTTAGCATAGAACTTACGGTTCCATCTAGCCATTTCAGCTGTAAAATGATGAGACCTTGCTGCCAATCTATAAGGCTGTGGATGTAATACCGTGAGAGAGAAGAAACTGTTAGCATAGAAGTTACGGTTCCATCTAGCCATTTCAACTGTAAAATGATGAGACCTTGCCGCCAATCTATAAGGCTTTGGATGTAATACCGTGAGAGAGAAGAAACTGTTAGCATAGAACTTACGGTTACATCTAGCCGTGGATGTAATAATAGAAGGAACTGTTTGCATAGAACTTGCGGTTGAATCTAGTTAATTCTGCTGTAAAGTGATGAGACCTTGCCTCCAAACTATAACGCAGTAGATGTAATACCGTGAGAGAGAAGAAACTCTTAGCATAGAACTTACGGTTACATCTAGCCATTTCAACTGTAAAATGATGAGACTTTGTTGCCAATCTTTAAGGCCGTAGATCTAATATCGTGAGAGAGAAGAAACAGTTAGCATAGAACTTACGGTTACATCTAGCCATTTAAACTGTAAAATGATGAGACCTTGCCACCAATCTATAAGGCCGTGGATGTAATACCGTGAGAGAGAAGAAACTGTTAGCATAGAACTTACGGTTACATCTAGCCATTTTGAACTTAAAAATGATGAAACGTTGACGCCAATCGTGTACTGCGCTTAAATTCATGAAAACTAGCTACCAAAGAGGAAAGTTCATCAGAAAATTAATGTGATATTTCGGCCCAATTGGTTAAATTTATAAAGTCTATGTACCGGAGGGGGAAGTAATATTTATTTTGTTTTAATACAAAAATGTGACACAAGCCCAAACGTGTGGATAAAGGGAGGTTAGTCTTCAATGTGTCTTATCTTAAATTTAACTAGGCACGATTACTGGCTCAAACACACCACATTATTTCTTATGCCAAAACAACTTACATTCTTATTTACCTTTCTTACTACAATCACCTCAATACACCAAGTCTCTATGTAGTTCTAACTAGTTTCCATATGTACAGTTGTCAAGTGACAACATTTAAATATGAAAGTCCGGTAAATATTTACAATGAATACGATTTATATACAAGAAACTAAACAAAACAGTCTTATCCTGATGCTTAACCGGCATTAAAATGACACTACAAGTCAGCTCCTTTAACTCGACACATGAGAACTATGATATCTTCAAGAAACTTGTGCAACGGAACTTCTCTGGCCAGAAAAAGAAAAGGTAACCAGTCTCTCTACACTTTGAGAATGTTGGTTTACAGGCGGTCACAATGAACAGCATTTTGTGATCCTTTACATCCAGACGGTTGGGGAGAGAGCTAAAGGCTTTACTATATGGTATAATCGCAAAGCGCCATCCCCCGTTTACGACGTTGGGGGTAGCACTGATTATCTAACCAAATTAGTCAAAATATGCGGCTAAGTGCTCCACTATGTCTTGAGGAGGGGCCTCAAATGCTATTCATGTTCAGCTCTACAGGTGGTCACAATAAACAGCATTTTGTGGTCATTTACATCCAGACAGTTGAGGACAGAGCTGAAAGCTTTACTATATGACATAATCGCGAAGCTCCATCCCAAGAAACTAAACAAAACAGTGTTAGTTCACAATATTCTGATGCTTAACCGGCACTCTCTCTATTTCTCGTTTGCTTCGTCTAAATCGTAATGTTGCAATGGTCATTTTACAACATAAAAATTTATTGCAGGTAATTTTACTATAAAAAATATTTTTATGCTTTCATGGTGGTTTTTTTTTATTGTTCTGGGGTTTCACTATTTGACAATAGCTGGGAGCCTAATAGTTGCTACCACCCCAGGTCAGAATATATATGGTAAGAAAAACAATTAAGAAGTGGCTGCATGCCCCTCAAAACCTCCAATCTCTCGATCAAAGGCCTTGCTGCCGGATGTAGTTAATCGTCACACCCAGGAGTATTGGAATATCGAAAGATGACTTCTAACTACTAAGCAAGGTATTAAGAAACAAAAAAATGTCCTTAGAGACAGAGAAAAATTACTTAACTGTTATGCAATATCAGTCGCATAATATGGCGGTGAATGCTGGACCATATCTGCACATTTGAAGCAGAAATTTGAGGAGATAGAAAGGCGGATCCACAGAAGGATGCTACGAATTCCATGAACCTTACTGGTGAGCAAGTTTTATAGAAAATGGAAGCAAAAAAGAACGTTTCTGCTTAAAAAAAGTCAGTTGAAATTTCTACGTCGTGTTATGAGGAAAGTGGTTGTTATGGGAACTTACCCATAATAATAATGGACTATTCCTGACATTATAAATACTGCGCCTCTCAAGAGGTACGGATATATTGTAAGACGAGGGTACCTCTAGGTGGTGTAATGGTTAACAAGCTTCTCTCGCTAGATCAGTTACAACTGAAAAGTGAGTTCGATCCTCACTAGATGCCCCATACTTTCGGCCTTGTACCACATCTGAGAAACGCTTGGAAAATCACTATATTGTAAGACGAGGAGAGATAATTGAGAGAATATTGTAAGGACATTGGAATAGTGATACTTGTCGATACAACATAGTTCACTCTAACCAAATCTGATAGTCATTACTAATACTTCTACTTCTTTGTATTATATTTCTGTTGTAATATATCTTTGTATTTCCATACCCGTGTTCGTGTTATTCTTTCATTGGTTCTAACCTTGGACCATCACCGTGGTACAAGGAACTTGGACAATAACAATGGTCTTGGAGAATTTGGCACTCACAGGATATATTTAAGGCAAAACAGACAAAAGAAATCAGCGGTTAATTTGCCTCCTTAGGAGGGATAGCAAAAAAGAGACAGAAAAGACAGGAGGCTGTGAAGATTCATGATCACCCACGTACTGAATGGTCGCTGTACATTTTTACTATCTGAATTCACCTGTTTGCATAATAATCATTGATTTCCCACTGTGTTGTACAAGAGTAAGTGCCGCTGCCGACACTGTGGTTTGAAACTAGATCGCCAGTGAGTAACACGGTCGATTTTATTATTAAGGAGATCACGTGATCATAAAGGAAGTGAATAAATAGGAAGTAGAGTGATGACTATACGATCTCTGTTCAGTCTTCTTGTCTATCCGTTATTGCTATACGTTTAATCTCTCTACTCTACTACGATTCTCTACTGATCATTATACTATTTGGCGATTACTACTTGAACAAGTACTACTAGTATGGATGTTATTGGAAGGCATTACTACTACTCCTCGTACCGGCGTTTACAAGTCTTAACTACAATGAGCATTTTTGAAGTGATAACATCCAAACAACATCACAAGAAAATGCTTGTTAATTTTTCAGATTTTGTGTAAATTTAAATTCTTATAATTTGTTTCAACTCTTAAAATGTCCAAACCACAAGAAAAGTTGTTTTGTGTAATGCAATTTGCAAAGTTTAACCTTAAAATTATTATTTTGAACCTTTTGTGATAGGTCAGGTGTGAGTTTAAGGTACAATAAACTCTCAAAGCACAGAGCCTCACTGAGGGGCTGAAACTGTTGCTCACTACAAAAGCATCAAGATAGAGAGCAAGAGCAATGGACAGGTCCATAGGTTCAATCTATTGCAGAAATCAGGGAGAGTCCTTAAGTATAAACCAAGACTGCTTACTTGTAAAGGGAAAAACTAGAATTTACAGTATGCCTGATAGTTGAAATAGTCACATGTTTCCCCACTGGTGCCAGAAGGCATGTTTAAGCCTAGTTTAAAGAGAACTGAACACTGATTTTCTAAGCAGGTAAATCATCACGACTTGGCAAAGAATTTTTTTTATATAATAACCTCTGTAATAAACCAGGTGATGATGATAGTTCAAATAAAGCCTTCTGATAATTCCTCAAAATGAAATATTATACTATTTGGCGATTACTACTTGAACAAGTATTACTAGTGCATATCTTATTGGAAGGCGTTACTACTACTAGTACCGGCGTCTACGAAGTCCCGAATATAACAAGCATTTTTGGAAGGGATAACAAGCTTTCAGTTGACATAGCAAAAGTGACAAGCGAAGCCGTCCAACATCACAAAAAACTGTTAATTCGATATTTTTATAGTAGAAGGTGATCATAGCTCTCCACACCGTCCATTTATTTTTTTTACTGTTTGTGATTTTCTATTTCTTCTTGGGAAAAAATAATGAAGAGGTATAATATCGCCTTTCCTGCGTTCTCGAAATCAGGGTTGTCCTGAAACGGGCGTGGCACGTACTAAAG